GAGAATCCATGCGTGCTTGGCGGAGGACCTCTTTCAGCTCCCTCTTACATCGCTACCATGGGAAACAAATAAAAGTTGAATAAAATGGTATGGCTTGGAAGGATATTGTGTACGATCCAAAGTAGCTTCTAAACAAAATTGACTACCGGAGACGAAACTAGGATAAGTGTTAGTACAACACATAACGTTCAAAGAATAGGCTCAAAAGGCTATAAAAGTCAGCACTTGAAGAGAAATTCTATTCATTCTCAGATTGTCTCAGTAGGGAGGGTAAGTCAATTGCATTGATTTTACGCTTAAATACGCTTGTAGATGAGGCTTGCAGTGCAGTTTCTGGTAATAGTCTAAGCCATCGGGGGATTTTGTAAAACAAACTATTGAAAACCCAACGAAAACGCTTCCTGTAAATAAGTAAATAATGAATTTTAAACCCACCATATCTGTTTGTAGGTCTAAAAATTCAGTATTTACTTGGGGCAAGTCTCAATTCTTTATGCAAAAGTCGGTAAACCAAAAACGAGATCAAAAAATACTCGTCTATGTTCTAAACTTATCATTGCCAAAAACTTAAGGCGATTTTCGTAGCTCGGCATATCGACGAAATTGAGTTTTCTACGACACCTCAGGTACAGAATACGAGTAAAAGTTTGTTGCACTTTTTCCAGCTTCAAAATATTTTTCTTTAAAAAGGGGTTCCATATTACAGAACAATAATCTAAATGAGGTAACACGTAGGCTCGGTAGAGAAGGTTTGAGGATCATAGGATTGTCGGTATGTACGCTACGAAAAATCGCAAATTAAACCGAACAAGCTTTATTAACTACATTATCAATATAAGCAGAAAAATTCAAATCAGAATCAATCAAAACGCCCAAGTCTTTGGCGGTAGAACAGTTTCTCAGTTGTTTCCATTTATCTCATAGATTGGATTTTCAAGGTCTCCAAAATGCATGACAAAACTTTTTTCAAAGTTAATAGGAATGTCTAAACAAGCCGCCCAATGCCTCATTTTCTCAAGAGATACTTTCACTGCGCCTCTGACCTCAGCTTTATTTTCCGCATTGTAAAACCCATAAATATCATCCGCATACATTTGTATTGTAATATTCGTTGATGTTTCCAAGATGCTTGGAAGCTCGGCCGTATACACCAGAAAAAGCAGGGGAGACAGTATTGCGCCTTGCGGGACACCGCTTATGCAGCTGAAGCGCTCCGAAAACTTGTGCCCTACCCGAACCGTCATTCCTCTGTTATATAAATAAGATTTCAGCCAATTTAAAATGTTTTCATTCAACCCAAGACTCTCACATTTCGACAAAAGTATCATATGGTTCACTTTGTCGAATGCCTTAGACAGATCCATGTAAATGACATCGACAGACTTGCCTCTGTTAAGCGCCAAATTCCAGTCAAAAACGGAGTCGGCGAGATTCGTCATTGTGGACGATCCCGCCATAAAACCGTGCTGATTCGTGGGAATTACATTGAATTTTGTAAACCAGTTCAAAAGCTTATCGCGCACTACTTTCTCCATTACTTTTGCTGCAGTAGGTACCAAGCTGATGGGCCGGAAGTCCGAAAGGAGTTTAGCGTTAAGAACTTTTGGGATCGCGGTTACCAACGCCTCCTTCCAGACCTGCGGCACCTCTCCAAGCATCAATGATATGTTGAAAGTATGCGAAAGAGGAGTACAAAGGGATGAAGCGTATTTTTTAAAAACAATTTGCGGGATACCATCGTACGTTTCAGTAAAGGAAGCTCTCAATCTGATTAAGATCGTCCGGATTTCCGAGGGATCGAAGTAGACAGTAGAAAGGCAGTGATGAACAGTGGGAAGTGTAGAGAATTCCGAAGGCACAATAATAAAATCGTGAGAGAACACATCGGCGAAATAGCGAGCTAAGGCATGCGATTTTTCCATGTCTGTACTGAAGGTATTCCCATTTCGGTCGGAAATAGCAGACGGACGACGGCTTGATTTCAGTTTTTGATTAACATACTGAAAGAAAGATTTCGACGAAGCTTTCATAGCCAATCTATGTTCGGTTGTTCAAGAATCTCTTTAAGTGATGATCCACATCTTTGCATACCTTCTTATACATAGAGTTCATCAAAGGGTTGACCAGAGAGTTGAATAAAGTTCTTTCTGAGCTAAAAGCTTCCGTATCTGTGAGGGGTAGCCTTAGCGGGGCTGTTCAAGAAATTCGAACGACACAAATTGTGCAAGTGCACCGTATATTGTCACACAAAAACGGTAGTATACGTCTCTGCTGATTCATACTGGTCAAATATAGCCAGCCAATCAATGGTTTCGAAATATCTATTAAGAGAAATATAGTCGACTTTTCGAAAATCAGGTGTTGGCAGAGGAATGTGACTGGTCAATTTCATAGAGACTGAAAATTCGACTATACGATGATCGGAATTTGCAAGAGGAGGCATAGTGCGCGCATCCGAGACAATAGGTGAGGTCGAAAACACGAGATCAAGAACATGGGAGCGGTGTGTTGGTTCTGTAACAAACTGCTTTAAACTAGAGTTATGGAAAAACTCGAGATAAATTGATGAAGTTCTATTAAGAGGTTGAGGCTCGGGCCAATTTATCTGTAGATTAAAATCTCCCAAAACTATTGTCTTTTCGTATTCGCTAACAAAATTACACAACGATTCGATTACTTTTTCATCACTTGCATATGAGCTATTTAGGGGACGGTAAACCGCTAAAAAGCGTGACCAGGTAGGCTCACGTGAAGAGGATATGTCGATGCATAGGATGTTTGACATTGTACTATTGTCAATAATGCAAGATTTAACTAGAAGAGTACTTTTTGCTAAGCAACAGACTCCACCGTTTCTGCGGCTATGTCTGTCTACACGCAAAATTATATAAGGAAGATTTCCTATAACTTCACTATCACTAATTTTTTCCCGTAAGCCATGTCTCCGTAACAAAAACTATATCAGGCTTGTCCTCTGACAGAATTGATTGTAAATGATGTATTTTCTTTACTAAACTACACAACTACTGAAGATACTATTGATTCCATATATATGAATCGAAGTCCGGTCGAGAGAACAGAAAAGAACAAATACAAAGATTGGAAATTTGATGAACAAATTTCAGAGAGGTAAGAGCCGGCTTGATTCCAAATTCTTTATAAACTCCTCTTCTGACATTCTAAGGCCCGTATGCACGTACATCCCCGCGGAGAGGGGAGGGGATCTGAGAGGGGAAGCGTCATATCTCGCTAGTCTATGTATCTTTCTTCTTCTTTTTCTGTCTTGGTTTTGAAGGTTCTCATACACTGATACTTGCGCATAACGGATGCGAGGTTACTGCCATACAAGATTAGATATTCACTATTTCGTCTGATCCCCTGGGGATCCCCAGGGATCACCTCATATTTTCAAAGCTATTTATCTTCCTGAAAACTCGATGAAAATGCTCCAAAATTGTACTATGAATATACTACAGCACTGCTAAACATGTTTATGGTAGTAATGAGTGAAATCTCAAAATATCAAAATCTTCGATGAACCGCTGCTTGCGAGCCAGGGATTATCGAAAAATCGAAATCTTCGGATTTCATTTCTTCTGTTGAAAACATGCTCAGCAGTATCGTAGTATTCATTCATTTTTCAGGAAGATAAACGACTTCGAAAATGTGAGACGATCCCCTGGAGATCCCCAGGGGATCGGAAGAAATAGTGAATATTTAATCTTGTATAGCAGTAACCTGGCATCTATTATGCGCAGGTATAAGGGTATGAGAACCCTCATAAGCACGATAGAGAAGAAAGAAGAAAGATATCTAGAGCAGAGAGATATGGCGCTTCCCCTCTCAGATCCCCTCCCCTCCCCGCGGGGATGTACGTGCATACGGGCCTAAGGCTGCAATTCTTGAATGGCTTTACAGAAATCTTTTTACTTCATATTGTTCATTTTTTCCGAAATAACCTTCTCAACCTTTTACGATGAGGACGAGTGGCGTAGTGGTATGAGGCGCCGCTATGACCAAATCGGACACAGGTTCGATCCCCGCCCCTGGGCCAACCAAGCCCTCTACCCTCCGGGGCCGGTGAATTGGTACCGGAGTAATCCGGGAGGATAAAAGCACTGATTTGGAAATGGCTGGCCCCCGCAAGTCACTGTAATAGGCTCGCACGCATACAATTGCCTCTTCGACCATGAAGTTAGTGTGTGCGTTCGGCGCATGCCCCCAGAGGGTATTGAAGATGCCGAATCCTTCATCCTTTATCCTAATCTTTTACGATACTCACTGCAATAGTCGCATTTGCGCTATTCGATAGCCAATTAGTTGACCTTTGCAAAGCAAGTCAGTCGTCTGATGAGCGAAGAATGTCACAATTCAAGCGAAAAAATCTTTACTCTTTGTATTAAGTCTAATAAATATTTTACTCGGCGGGTGGGGGGGGGGGGGGGAGATTAAGAAAAATGCGCAAAAGAAACTTATAAAAGTCGTGTTTCAAATAGGTAAGTTTGCGAAAGTAGATGGCGATCGAAAATATTCAAATTGCAAATCCAGACTCGTCGAAAAGCCATCCAAAGCCGTCCAAAATCATCAAAATTGTCCGTCAGAACAGTTATATTAGCAAGTGCGTGTTAAAGTAAGTCCGTCACTAAGATTGGTCATGCATTCTCCTAAAATATGGTCTCTGTACATCAAGCAAGCTTGCAATACACTGATATACTCCGAATCTATCTTAGCGTGCATTACACTAAACCAAACATCTCTAAAGTTCGTTAGCTGCAAACAGCTTCACATTGACGTGTCACACAACGTTACATGCATCAAGCATCACTAACGAACACAAAAAATCCATCGCCGCCTCTTAGATTGCCTTGTCCGATGTATACTTGGACATTCTTCGTAAATACTCCTCTACCTTAACGGTATCGAGGAGATTTTCACTACGAAGTGTCGCAAATGAGGCCATGGTGCCTTCCACCTCCTCCCTTCTTATCCTTTCCCTTTCTCTAAGCATCTTGGGCTCGCTCCTTCTCAATTCCATTCTTGCCAAAGTCCCGTTTGACATTAGCGTAAAGCTGCGGAAGGTCAATATCAGCTGCGCTAGAGGTGGATGTTTCTTGCCGAGAATTTTCCTCAGCCTTCTGAAATGAGAAACTTCAATAAAAAAAGTCAATTACAAAAGCTGCAAGCTCACCCGTGGTAGTTCTCGGCGGTGTTGGTTGTTCGCTGGACATTGTCTTGAATGGCCGCCGAGCAAGGTGTCCCGCAAGTAGTTTAAAAATTTCTTGCATGGCCCGTACGCAGGATGTTCGCGTTCTACGGGTGGCCTTCTCATCGCTTCAAGGTGGTGAAGTATTCCGTGTGGAGAAGTGGAAGACCTTTCAACGTCCACCACCATTGGACTACGCTTCCGCATCTTTCAGGACCCTTCAGGAAGCGAAGATTTCCAAGGTATTCCGTCTCCTCACCCACGCCTGGCATAGATGGCATGCGCATCCCTCCAAGGAGGCATTTAGAAAAATTCTCTTTGCGGCATTAATAGCAGCCTGTTCGAAATCCAAGATCTACTCTTATCGTGTTTCCGTCAGACTCAATCCTTCTATCGCCTCTTCTATCGCGGCTTTCAAGTTGTTGAAGATGGTGACGTAGTCTTCCTCGCGCTTGTACTTTGTGACGGCGTAGAGCAGCGGTATCTGCAGAGGAATCTATCGATGCAGTTGATATTGTACGCCTTCACCTCAAATCCCCTCGGCAAATCCCATGCACTGTATACACTTGCCCCCCGTCCACACGTACTGCAGCTCCACGTCGACTTCGAGGATTATCTGTGTATGCCATCTCCAACGAGCGCGAAAAGATCATGCGAAACAGCACGCTAAAAACGAGAAAAACTATTTTCGTAACTTCTATGTGTACAACCGACCCTGATGATAGTCTGCGACACATACATATGCAGACATGGTTCTTGCACTTGCAAGAACGTGCTTCCATCTGGGAAGTTTCGCAGCACCTCAGGAACATTTGTCATCGTAAGTTCGCGTACTGCTCTATTAACAGCTATAAAAACGATTTTGCAGCGGGATCGGGTGTAATGAAATTATTAAATGACTCAAATCCTTCTTACCTATTGTAAGAGTGTCGTCTGCTTTTACAACCATTTTTCTTCATATAATGCGAAATCACGGCATTCCTCTTCTAGGCAATTTATAGATGCTTGTGTGAGCAGTAGAAAAGAGTTTTCGTATCCACGCGCCCGACATAGATCTAACCGCAGGCCTGCGTGTAAATTTATGCCTTCAAACTCTTTCCGCAATGTTGTCATTAGCGTGAACTGGAGTAATGACATTGCTAGTATGTATGAGAGTCCATATGCACTGGTTGCAGATCTCTACAGATCCTATATGCAGGCTAATTGAGGACTTCATTCTGCAAAAAGTGATTTGCAACAAGCCTTGAAGTTATTTCTGGTTTTGACCATAATGCTTATGTGAGTCACAAAGCAATATACATTACAAAGTGTTTCATGTCTCATTTTGCGCGGTAGCTGAGATTATCAAGATTTTGAAGTTTCAAGCGGTCTCCTGTTCGATTTCTTGATTTGAGTTGGATATGATTGTGCAGAGTGCTCGACTCAACTCTCAATGACAACTGCGGCTGAACCAGAATGTGCAACCCCGGAATTTTTTCCTGACTAGGCACACAAGTTTATTGTTGTACGTGTATTGTTGCGGCTACATTGCAGCGTTTTCTGTGACTTGAAAATCGAGTTTTGTGGTGCAAAAGCGCGACAACCCTATGGTGAGGTTTGGAGTCTGATTGTCAATATCAACGATTACGCGGAGTTTACGAAAGCGCTCTTCACCTTATCTATCAAAAAAAACTGAGTGTATTCCAGGACTCTCATTTGAAATAAACGCGGGCTTGAAAACTCCTCAAACCAGCTGTTTGTTGACGCAGTTTGACTTCTGATGCCTTTGGAAACGAAAAATGCAAGGATTATCTTTCCTTGTGTAGCATGAAGGTCCTGGGTGCTGCAAAAGTTTCATATCCTGGGATGTAACTCTACAAAAAAATTTGGGAGTCAAGGAATGCGATAATGTTTAAAAAGGCCAGGTGTCCCTATAATTATGTCCAGCTTGCAAAACGGGCTTTTTCGAATTTTTCCATTTTTCTCCGTTCGAAATCAACGGGATTGGAAGCCGTTGTGAGGAGTTACGGTAGGCTTACATGCTTACATACACCATACAGCAAAGTTTCAGACAGATTCACTGACAAGAACGAAAATTACGACGATTTCTAAAGTGTCTCTATAATTATGTCCAGCACTGTATATATATAGATGAGTTTTCTTGATGATTTATAACGAGATAGTTTGAAAACTACAAAAGTAATGTCATGTTCTTTGATTTATTATAACAATTGCACCTAAATTATTTAAAATAACAGAAAAACACATAAAATAAAAGAATATCATTTTCATTATCACATCTCACATCTTTTATGAATAAACAGTGAAACTTCGGAGTTTTTTTTTACAAGCTCGAATGAGCCTTATTGGGATGAAATGGACAAATTCTCTTTTTAGATTACAATGCTAATGAACTTATTGTAACGAAGATTCAATGGAAAAAATCTCAACACACTTTGGCAACCCGTTCTTAAGTTTTTCTTACTATTCTTTTTTTCTAGCAAACCGATTGCTTCAAAACTGATTTGTAGATGAAGCACTAACTGAAATTTTGCAATTTAAGTAATCTAAAGGACAATTTAGCTATTCCCGGTACGAACCACAAAACTCAAAAACCACACTTTTGGCCCTAAAAGCAAAAAAAGCACAAGGAGCTTGGTCTCGAGGGAAGAAAGAATTATGGCCTCAGAGCAAGATATTTTCGCCAGAAGTTTTTGGATGTCGATGTTTTATTATATAGAAACTTGTTTGAAGTTCGTGGCCATTCTACTCTGCAATACCCATACTTCTACCCTCAGAAGCAAAACGGCACAGATAGCTTGGTCTCGAATGGAGGAGACTCATAAGCTCAGCCAGCAAGATACTTCCGCTGAAAATTTCTGGGTGTCAATGTTTATTCTACAGAAACTTTTTGAAATTCTCCTGTGGCCATTCTACGCTGCAAAAACCGGACTTCTGCCTCTGAAGGTAGAAAAGTGGTCTAGGAGAAAGACCCATGAGCTTCATCCTACAAGACATTTTCACTGAAACTTTTGGCCCCCAAACTTCGCAAGAACCACAAACTCAAAAACCACACTTCTGATCCTGAAAGCAAAAAAAGACAGGGAGCTTGGTCTCGAGGGAAGAAAGAAATATGGCCTCAGGCAGCAAGATATTTCAGAAGTTTCTGAGTGTCAGTGATTATACAGAACTTGCTTGAAATCTACTTCTGACCCTTTTGGTCTCGGAGGGAAAAGACTCATAAGCTCAGCCAGCAAGATACTTTCGCTGAAAATTTCTGGGTGTCAATGTTTATTTGTACAGAAACTGGCTTCAAAATTTACTTCTGGTCCTTCTACTTTGTAAAAACCATACTTCTGCCTCTAGAAGTAAAAAAGCAGAAAGTGCTCTCGATAGAAGGACAGACCCATGAGCTTCATCCGACAGGACATTTTCACTGAAACTTTTGGCCCCCAAACTTCGCAAGAACCACAAACTCAAAAACCACACTTCTGATCCTGAAAGCAAAAAAGACAGGGAGCTTGGTCTCGAGGGAAGAAAGAAATATGGCCTCAGGCAGCAAGATATTTCAGAAGTTTCTGGGTGTCAGTGATTATACAGAACTTGCTTGAAATTTACTTCTGACCCTTTTGGTCTCGGGAAAAGACTCATAAGCTCAGCCAGCAAGATACTTTCGCTGAAAATTTCTGGGTGTCAATGTTTATTTGTACAAAAACTGGCTTCAAAATTTACTTCTGGTCCTTATACTTTGTAAAAACCATACTTCTGCCTCTAGAAGTAAAAAAGCAGAAAGTGCTCTCGATAGAAGGACAGACCCATGAGCTTCATCCGACAGGACATTTTCGCTAAGATGTTTGACCCCTAGACTTCGCAAAAACGAGTATTTTTGCCCTTAAAAGCAGAAAAGCACAGGGAAGTTAATCTCTAGGGAAGGACAGTCCATGAGCTTCTTGCCACAGGACATTTTCACAGAAACTTTCGGCCCCTTCTACTTCGCAAAAACCAGTACTTCTGCCCCTAAAAGCAGAAAAGCACAGGGAATTTAGTCTCTAGGGAAGGGCAGCCCATGAGTTTCATCCGAAAGGACATTTTCGCTAAGTCGTTTGACTCCCAAACTTGGCAAAACCACAAAAATCAAAAACCACACTTCTAGCCCTAAAAGCAGAAAAGCACAGATTGCTTGGTCTTGAGGGGAAGAGACTCATAAGCTTAGCCAGCAAGTTACTTACGCTGAAAATTTCTGGGTGTCAATGTTTATTTACAGAAACTTGTTTGAAATTCACTTGTGATCATTCTGCTCTGCAAAAATTGAACTTCTGCCTCTGAAGGCAGAAAAGTGATCTCGAGGGAAAGACAGACTCATGAGCTTCTTGCGACAGGAAATTATCTTCTCTGAAAATTTTGGCCTTTTAAACTTCGCTAAAACCACACTTTTGCCCCTACTCAGATAATCGCTGGGGGCAGGCGGGCACCGGAAAAATAGATTGCTGTTTTCTCGCACCCCGCTTGCGGATTTTTTGGAAAGCAATCACGACTTTTCGGAAGACCGCTTGCTGAGTCAGCGGATTTTTGAGAGACCGCCTGTTGAATTTTTTTCGCCTTTGTTTTTTGCAGATATATTGCTGAATCTCTGAGGAATCGAGAACTCAGCAAGCGGTCTTCCGAAAAGTCCTGATTGCTTTCCAAAAAATCCGCGAGCGGGGTGCGAGAGATCAGCAATCTATCTTTCCGGTGCCCGCCTGCCCCCGGCGATTGTCTGAGTAGAAGCAAAAAAACAGGGAGCTTGGTCTCGAGGAAAGAAAAGACTTAGGGCTCAGGCAGCAAGATATTTGCGCTAAAAAATTTTAGGTGTCAATATTTAATTATAAAGGAACTTGCTGGAGATTACGGCCCCTTCTTCTCAACCATGCTTTTGCCCCTAAAAGCGGAAGCATAAGGAGCTTGGTTTCGATGGATGGAAAGACCTAGGGTTTTATGCGACAGGACAGTTTCGGTAAGATTGTCCTTCAAAAGAAGGCGTCGGGCAAGTTTTAGTCTGTTCTAAGAAAAGAGTCCGTTCACTGGCAAAACATCATCGAAAAAAAATACTGCTTCGTTTCTATCTACATATCTGAGTTTTCGGCTGCTGGAAGACATAACTTGACGCTTCCATTAAATTGGCACTTTCCTGGGAATCAATCTGAGTTTTGGGATGAATCAGCTGTTCTAAACAGGTGCATGGAGGTAGCTTCCTTGTTTAAGAGCCTTGGTATCTGGGCGAAGGTATCTGCAAAAGGAACAGCAGAGATGCTTTGCGGATAGTCACTGGTAGTAGCTTCTTTTCCTAAGAGCATAGTGTTTGTTTCTACTACTCACTATACGCGAAAGGTCGCTGGGAAGATGGAAATTCTCTTTCTTGGGAGTTTTAGTTAATTAATGGCAGAAATCAATGTATCTGCCCACACCCACCTACTAGCTCGCTAGTTTTATATATAAAGCTGAATGTATGTTTGTATGTCTGTCTGCCTGTATGTATGTACGTATGTTCCGAATAGAAAATTCCATTTCTGAACCGATCCGGACCAAACTTGGCACACATAACACTTCGGGGCCGGGCCGGTGTCACAGGCTACTTTTCGTTATGGATCGATATCGATTTTATCAATTTTTACCGATTTTTTTGTAGAGTTTACCTACAGGGCTGCGAGTTGGCACAGAGGGGTAAGTGGGCATGGAAACTTCGAATACGATATGAATTTTTAGAATTATCCACTACTTTTATCGATTTTATCGATTTTTCCAAAGTTTGAGTTACTGGGCTGGAAGTTGGCACAGGGAAGTAAGTGGGCATGCTGATTTCGAAAACAACACAGGGAACGGGAAATGAAGTGTAGAAGTGGGCACAGGGAAAGGCTGTAAAGGGATAGGGATGGGACTTTATTACAGTGTTGCGACAGGGTCGAGCGGAGCCGGGCAAGCCAGCTAGTAGTT